TTTATGATTTTATTTTATACGATTAATCGCTAATTAATTTTGGATTATGATTACTTTTTTTTTTTTTTTTTTTTTTTGGTACATTTGAAGCCCCTATAAGAGAGTATTATCTAACCCTTAAACTAGGCCTGATACGAGATTCTGCCTGGAGATCGAATATCATTCATATCCGGGAGAAGAGTCTAACGTGACTAGGTGAGTGTTCCCCAATCAATACTTTGGCCAAAGTTTAGTCAATCAGCGCATTTGTTGCCTTCTCTCATAATGTGTGAGATTTTAAACCTATATGGAACTTACTGCTAAGATGTAAGCCGTCTTTGACCAAGGCCACCATTGTTTCTTTGTTACAATTCCCTTGTTCATAACGGTCACCACTGCTGCAGAGTCCATTTCGACTCAGACCATATGAAAACCCTCTCTCAGACATAGCCGTAGACCCTTAGGCCCCACGGCTCAACTCAGAAACTATCGGTATTCCCGATCTTCGTTGCAAAGCCTTTAATCCAACGACCACAATCATCTCGAATAATGCCACCGGCGCTTGCCAGACCTGTGCCTGTCTTCATTGCTCCGTCGGTATTAAGCTTCACCCACCCCGGTTGAGGAGGCGTCCATTTTGGATTATGATTATGCTTAGACTAAAACTAGCATATCCTAGCAACACTTGCCACCCAAGTGATTTTTACTACTCCCAAGCAAGAAGCCAATGATTCTCCCATGATGCATGCGGGCGCATGCATCCATGTTACATCGTACAACATCTTCAACTTCCGAGGAAATCCCATTAAATTTCTTGATTTAATTCATTTCATGCATGCACGTTTTATTATTTTTTTCCTATATTCGATCTTGTTTTTGCAGGGTGTCAGCTTCTTCGAGATATTTGCAGTTGCCCATAGGACTCACTCATCATATTCTGATTCCCATTATATTGCACCATAGAATATAATACAAGAGCTGAGCTGAGAATTGAAGCTACTTTTACCTCCTTGGCATATAGCAAATCTTTGTATACAAATCTAGGGAATCGATTTTCTTTCCGTCAATGGAGCTATGTTGTCTCTTCTATCTTTTAAATTTCTAGTTTATATTTCTTCATTTTCCAATGAAGACGTGGGAAAATTATTAAGTAGTGGTCCCAAGATGATTGTGCCAACATCATATCAAATAATTGGAGTTGCATATTGACTAATCATTAATCTTTATATATGTAACAACTTAACGAAATCAGTCTACATATTAATGGAATAGTAGGCATATCATCAATATTTTAAAATTTTAATCTTACAAATTTATTCTCGATCTGTACTTTGTGATTAATCACCCGTAGCGAAGTCAAAAAATATTAATCGGAGTAAAGATTTAAGTATCTTAGTTTTTGATATTGTGAACACCATGTATATCTTCTTCAGTTGGATACTTTTGGTGCTCAAATGAAGATAGTGATATTGTGGGTGTCCTACATCACTTCATGTATAAAAAAAAACACTCTTAATTTAAGTTTTTTTTTTTTCTTTTTTTAAATTTATGAAAACAATGTCAAATTGACATCCTAAGTCTAATAATATATGCAATTATATCCCCTAATAACTGCCAAAAAAAAAAAAATCCAATGATGTCCCCTAAATTTGAAACATAGTGCAATTAGGTATATATTAACGTTAGCATGATATCATTAGAGACGAAAATGTACGTAAACTAGGTTGGGTTGTGCTATCATTTTATAATTATAATTATAATTATAATAATTATAATTTAGAAAGTATAAATTTTAATTTATAGACCTACAAAATGTTTAAAATTTTTTATTTAAATATTTTAATAGATTAAAATGGATTGAGTCGAGTTAACATTTAAAAAATGTAACTGAATCAGAACGACTCATATTCTAATGTGGACTAGCACAATACAACCTATATTAGTGTTGATCTATGTGGGTTTGGGACAGTGCAAGCTGACACCTCCCACTTGCGTTGACTAGCTTATTCTAGTCAAATCAATCGTTATATCGTCACCGAGGCTACAATGCATCCTTGGCCCAAAATGACGATGTTTTATAAGTTGGTGAGAGTTGACGCGACGGACACCGTTCCGTCCATCCAATCTCGTTACAATTTTTTTTTTTTTTTTTTAATAAACATTTGTGTTTATGTGTATTACGTTAAGAGTTTATGTGTATTATGTGTTGTGTTAGATTATGTGTATTATGTTAGGAGTTTATGTGTATTCTACTATACAATTCTGTACATACAAAACATTTTCTTTTTTAGAAGTTAACGGCAGAAACGGAAAACGGAATTTCCAAAATAAATAACCGTTTAGGACACACAATGCATTGTGTGTCCTGGTGCACGATATAATTTGCCTAGTCAAATGACATGTATTTATAGGGCGAAGCAACAATTATACTGTGGACCGCGGTGCCATTTCTTTAACGGAGCGCGCATGTTTGGTGTATTAATTAACAATTGAAACTATAGTGTATCTAAACTGACACTGTCTCACGTATTATTTTTATATTATCAAGTGAAACTGCAATTGAAATGAAATGAAACTGTAGTTGTGTTGAAATAAAACTGCAGTGTATACAAAATGAAACTAAATAACAATTTCACATATTTTAGTGTATATTACCCAGCGAAACTGTAGTTATATCAAAATGATACTGTAGTTGTGTTGAAATGAAACTGCAGTATATATAAAATGAAATTGAATAACATTTCACATATTTGAGTGTATATTGTGCAATGAATCTGTAGTTATATCGAAATGATCATGAAGTTGTGTTTTAATGAAACTATAGTGTATATAAAATAAAATTAAATAACATTTTCACATATTTGAGTGTATAAATATCGAATGAAACTGTAGTCATATCGAAATGTAACTGTAGTTGTGTTGAACTGAAACTGCAGTGTATACAAAATGAAACTGAATAACAGAGTTACTTTTTGCGGAACAGCGCGGACGACAGGAAACCGGTGCCGTTTATTTTTATTAAACAAAATGACGTCATTTAGAAGTTCGTTACATAATTCATTATGCACTGCGGTTCACGATATAATTTGCCAGGGCGGAGGGGGCAAATAATATCATGGACCAAGGCCCACATTGCATTGTAGACTTGGGTCGAAAACAACATTCAAATTATGTATATGTAGTTAACATATTATGTACTTTATTTGTTTGTAAAAAAAAAAACTAAATGTACACAATATGTTAATTGTAATATGTACATATTTATTAATTGAATGTATATAATGTGATAACTGCATGTACATACGGATTAATACATTAATTATAATAAATATATAATTTATTAACGGTGGCTACATAATATGTCAGGTGCACGTATATAATATGTTCATTGTAATGGGGACATAATTTATTAACTGAAAAACATAACATGTTAACTACAAGTACATCATTTGGATAGAGTTCACCATGTGCATATGATCCTGATACTCAATATAATAATTGGGGAAGGGGGGGGGGGGGTTGAGACATGTAAGTTTAGAAACTAAATTCAAAGAAAACAAAAAAAACTAAAATTTCCATAATCAGACTTTTCTTTTAAGACTTTTGGATTTCAATTCTGACCATTTTTGGACAATAATATCTTTTATTCACTCATCTCCTCGATCTCAAGCCCGTCTATTGGATATACGGAGAAATTAAACAGGACAGGAGTCACTGTTGGGTTTAAAAGACTTTCTTTTTAATTTGATCAAATTCTCTTTGAAAAAAAGCATTTAAAATTTGTTGAATCTTCCTAAACGTTATACATGTGATTAGACATTCCAGATCAGAAGATATAATAATTATTAAATCTTTAACTCTTCTTCCACGGCTCCCTCCCATCAAAGAAATTCTCCGATCCTTGTACTATTTATATTCTCACTATATTTGGCTCTAAACGCATTATTTTAATTCTGTATTCATGATCATCTTCTTCTTCTGCAATAATAATCTTTAGGCACGTATATATGTTTCTATTTTTACTCTCATGCATATATACATGCATTCCTCATAGATTTCTGCTTTAATAAAATTGATTACGACGAAATGTACGCTTACACGTACAATTTCCTTTTGCAGCTCGCCGGCCGGAACTGAAGTGATCGATCGTCAGAATTATGGAGAGCGGCGGCGGCGGCGATGGCTCTTCCCAGTGCTTTTCAACTAGTACGTGTTCACACTACCTCTACTGCTTCAATTTAATTAGTTTTCTCTTCGATTAAGATCTTAATTATTACGTTTACATATATATGCATTCGATTCTCACCTGCAATTCAAAATATAATGGTGCTTGAATTGAAATCTGGCGGATCGGATCAGGCGGGGGGAAGGAGCCGGAGATAGCGAGGCTGCAGCGAGAGCTGGGCCAAAAACTGGCTAAAATCAACGAGATGAAGAGAGAAAGAGATGAATTGAAGTCTCGTCTGGAGAAGCAACAGCTTCCCCTTCAGGAGGAGGCGGCTTTCAAGAGGCTTGTTGAGGACTTCAATGCCTTGAGCAATAAATATAACTCCATGTTGCATGAAAGCTCACTGGGGAAGGGATCGGAGGGATGAGTTGACGACCTAATTTAAAGTAGACGATGATCCAATTTGGGTATTCTCTATATTTTCCTGCAGATCAGAAGACCAATATAGTTTATTTATATATATGTATGATCATTGTATTGTATATATAAGTAATCTTTTAGTTAAATTTATGATATGATGTTACTTGCCTAATTTGGTGCAAGGTCGTTAAATATCTTCTAGAAGAATAAAAAAATTTATTTTCAATTTTCATTTTGATGTCATCTAATATTTAATTTATAGTAATATATTATAATTTTAATTAAATTGATTTAATTTAATTTACTTGGAAGCTAATGAGATAAAAAGAAATGATTGATGTCAATTGTCAACTTCAAATGCAAGGATTAAAAATTAAAATTAAGAATTAAAAAGAAGAGAGAGAGAGAGAGAGAATGAGAAAGAATTGAAAAAGAAAGTCATACAGAAAATAAAGGAAAAAAGAGAAAAATTTAAAAAAGTAAAGGGGTTGCTTCAGTTTTATTTGATATCTCCATGGAGGAATTGAAGAGCGCATGATATTGCAGTTGCTGAGATTGATCGGAGGCAGAGACGAAGAAGGCGCGCCCAACCGTCTTGGGCGACTCCGGAACTCCAAACCCTAATGGTCAGATTTTCTCTCCTATAATCAATCTTATTATTGAATTAATTTATCCATGTGGCCGGCCCACCCGGTATTGAGATTGAGGCGCAGTTGGATCAAGTCGAGTTAATCGTTGTCCATTTTGTTGAAATCGGTTGTGAATCCCTCGGGATTTCGTCGCCGCATCAAATGGATCAGACTTTCGGTTTTAATTCTCCGGCGATGGGTGGCCCGGCGCCGTTCGGCTCTGCTTCGTCGCGGCTGGCGAAACCGCGATTCACTAAGAAGAAATATACGCCGGCCAATCTCTCCATTGGTTTTGAGAATGATGACCGGAGTTTCAACCCGTTTCTACCTGTCTCGCAGCCCCCGGAAGGTACCTCCGGCTCCGGCGTGGTGAATCCTGGTCCTTCCGATAGTAATGCTGATGTTTATCGGAATGCGGGGTTTGCATTCGGAGCTTCGAAAGCTAGCACTAATGGTAATCCATTTACCCCTACTTTTGCTAGTAATCCCTTTTATTCAAACTCCCAGGGAATCATAGAGCCAGATAAAGATCTTGTTGGTGAAATTAGAAACTTGAAAATTGAAAGCCAGCAGCATATTAATGATCCTGGGAATATGAATGGTAAAGAAACTGGTAATTCTGAGACAAAGGGGATGGATGAACTACTTGCTTCTAAATTGCCTGAGGAGGTTGAAAATAAGTTGAAGATTAAAAGTGAGGAGAATGCTGTGAGGTCACAGAAGGGTGACAGCCTCAAGTTTAAATTAAGTGGAAGCTCTAAATTACATGATAGCTTTGTAAGCGGTGATAATGTCGATGGTGGTGCTGAGAGAATGGAACTCTTGAATGAGATGAACAAATTGAATATCAAAGATGGGGCAACAGATCAGTTGAAGAACCCTGCATTTGAGGGAGTAGAATCTTTTGGCAGAGCCTCTGATAATGAACTTCATGATAGGCTGAAGAACTTACATCTAAAAGAAACTATGAACCCAAACCTTGGCAATGATAATGCTAATGTTGATGCTAATTCAAGCGGCCGCTGTAAGTTTAATTTTGGGGGATGTGGAAACACTGTTATTCAATCAGATGGCATAAATAACTCACAACATGGAGGCCTTTCTGATCAAGTGCAGAAAGATTTGCCACCTTTCACAAAAACTGCAAATGAGATGGAGACTGAACCTTTCGGTCGCAAGAATTCTATATTTTCTTGTTCAGTCCCTTCGGAACTCAATTTTCAGGCAGAAAGGAGCGAAGTCTCTAGTAGTGGTCAAAGTGGTATTATGCCCTCCTGTTCCCCCAATTATGCCCGACCTGCAACTTTTGGTCCTGAAGCACCATTCATGGATAGGCCTGGAAAGACGGCTGAGTTTAGTTTCAGTGGGATGATGCAACATGTAGAATTTAAAACACCAAACTCAAAAGGGAGCTTGAATAGGAAAATTGAAACAAAAAGGGATCCAACTAAAGATACCAAGTTGAAAAAGAAATGGAAACATAGGAAATCAATTTCAATTTCAATTCCACCGAATACTGGACAATGTTATTTTCTAGCAGAAAGCTTGGAAGAAAATGTAGAGTCTTCTGAGTCATATTCACCAATGGATATTTCTCCATACCAAGAAACAACAGCAGATAACATTTCAAGGGGAACTTCTGTGACTTCTGATGAGGCCTTAAGCTTGAATGATAACTATGCATCAAGTGAGTCACATCCCATGGTTTCAAATGATATAGCTGATGAAGATCTTATTGATGCAACCCAACATTTGAATATTAATGAAAACAATGTTTATAATGATAAGGAGAAAGTAGAACCTTTGCATCCAGGTGTTTGTGTTGAGGAAGATTATATTTCTGGAGCTGAGACTGAAAGCTTCTTATCTGCTACTGATCACCTAGATTGTAGCACTGATTCATTTGTTACTGCAGCAGAAAATGAAGTAAGTTCCAGTTCAACTGTTGAGAGACAAGATATTAATGGTGGAAATGCAAATTTAGAAGACACATGCCAGTCTAAATTCATATTCGCTGCCTCTTCTACTGCTCAATGTCCATCACCATCAGTAACACGACATCGGAAGAAGAAAAGTCATGCAAGACATGGAAGTGATTTAAGTAATTCTGTTTCAAGTGCAAAAGTTCCATATTCACCCTATTCTCTGAGTTCTTTTCAAGTTTCTGGGGCATCTTCATTATCCCTTAATAAAACTAAAAATGTTGACATGCCTGCCTTCTCAAGACAGAGCCAGGGCAAAAGTCAACCACTTAAGGAAAAAGAGGTCAAGTTAGAAGCTAACTCCGCTACTGCCCAGAGCATGGCAGCTCTGGAAGCTTGTGAAAAGTGGCGACTAAGGTTTTCTTTGAATGCTTTTTATCTTGATAATTATTTCCTGAATCAAAGAAAGCAAAATTAATTTTGCTTTCTACTTTGATTGGCTGTTTGATGATGCAGTCATGGGCTAAATATTCTCTTTTGGGAAAATAATATTTCTTAGGTTTGTTAATTAAATGCTATAATCTTTACTTATACTAGGGGAAATCAAGCCTATGCAAGTGGGGATTTGTCTAGAGCAGAGGACTATTACACACAAGGGGCTAATTGTATATCTCAGAGCGAGACATCTAGGAATGCTCTTCAAGCTTTGACGTTGTGCTACAGCAATCGTGCTGCAACACGAATGTCTCTAGGAAGGATGAAGGAGGCACTGGATGATTGTTTGACAGCCATCAGATTGGATCCAAACTTCCTAAAGGTCCAACTTCGAGCTGCGAAGTAAGAGCTGGCCTCTGTTAGCTTTTTGTATAATATTATATTACTTGTTTTTCTTTCTTTCCAACTTTCACATGCGTGTCTCATAATTTCCTATACTTTTCTTCTCATTTGTCAATCTCTGTCCCCAAAAGATGGGTTTTGCTGGACATGATTCCCAATTGAACTGCAAGCAAATGATGAATATGCATTTTTAAAGCTTTAGGTGGGGTTCAGTCAAGTATTCCTTTGTACTGATTAGTTAATGAGTGGCCCGATCCTTTTGAGTGGAGATAAAAACATTTGCAACAAGTATTTAGTATCAAGCCATTTCAGCTCATTCGATCCAGAAAAAGCTCCTTAAATAGGGTGCTTCATCAATTTGGTGGGTGGTGGTGCATTTGAATTCAACTCTAATGGTCCAGATTAGATATTCACTATGAAATTCAGCAAGTTCTTCTTTTGAAGTTTTGTGATTCATTAATTCATAGGTACTTGGTTTCTATAAAATATCTACTTAAACAAACTATTGAGCATATACTTCCAACCCTGGTTTTCTCTGCCTGTCTATTGTTATCTTACATTATTTCTTTCAGTCTGTCTACAATTCTGGACAATGCCATCATGTTTGAGTATGAAGAAGATAAAATATAGTGTGGAATGTTTTCAGAAGGAGGATGCTATAAAAATCATATTTCTTATTCGTTTTTGTTTGATTGTTTCATTTTATTTTTAATCTTTAGCTGTTACCTCTCCTTGGGGGAAACGGAAAATGCGTCTCGACATTTTATGAAGTGCTTGGAGATGGGCAGTAAGTCCTGTGTAGAAAGAAAGGTACTGGAGGACGCCTCTGAGGGCTTAGAGAAGGCACTGGTATATAATACTTCTAACTTCAATTTAGTACTTTTAAGGAATTATTTTGAAGATTTTCTATGTATGCTGTTGGTAACTTGGTGTACTGATTGCTGGATGTATGCATTTTGGTTCACTCTTCTACAAATTGTATCTTTCTTTGATTTAATTTTTGGTTTATTGGGGATTTGGTGCCTTATTTATGACCATTATGTAAAGTGCTTTAGTAGAGGGTGGTGCAAGATAAATTAGCAGAACGTAACATGTGAAGGTTTAGCTACATCCCTTTCTATCTGCCACCCTCCCCCTTCCCCCCAAAAATACCATGTGAAGGTTTATTATTTGTTTAAATTTGTATTAGGGGTTATATTTGGGCACAACAGACTTTAACTTTACCATTCGGTAAATAATTATAGTAGCAACTTAGGATGGTCTGAAATTCTACATTTTCCAGTTTTAGTGGATTCTTCATTCTGCAACTTCCTGATGTGGTCTATTTGGCACAAGAGTCATATGACTATGATTTGAAAATGTATATTTTTAAATCTAAGGTGGCTTATACTATTTTTGGTAATTGAAAGTTGTGGAGTTACTAAAAGATTAGAAAGTTGTGGAGCACTACTGATGCATGATTTTTGTTCATCATCCTGCCTGAAAATAGTTTCTTGTTAATACACTAGAATGAAAACCCACTTTGTTTCCATTCGGTGCCAGAAAGTATCAGAATGCATGAAGCAATCAGCAACACTCTTAGGAAGAGGAACGTCTAATGATGCAGTCTGTGCCTTGGCTGTGATAGCTGATGCTTTGGTGATAAGCCCTTGCTCAGAAAAGCTTCTTGAAATGAAAGCAGATGCTCTTCTTATGGTTTGTGTTCCTGGGGAATGAGACGTCAAGGCTAATAAATTTTGCTAATTAAGTTGAAATTTTATTGTTTTTGGCTTTGAGCTTAATTTTGTTGATTTTATTGACAGTTGAGGAAATACGAAGAGGTAATTCAGTTATGTGAGCTGACACTTGCTTCAGCTGAGTTAAACGCATTCCGATCAGATGTTGATTTGAAAATGTTGGATGCTTCTAAGATACAAAATACTGCTTCGTTTAGGCTTTGGTGCTGTTCGGTAACAGTCAAAGCCTACTTTTATCTGGGAAAGCTTGAGGAAGCTGTTAATTTTTTGAATAAAGAAGAGAAATCCATGCCTTCAATGGAAAGGTAATATCTTCATGGAGTAAAGATTTTAAGTTACATATGTAATGATTTACTATTACTTCCTCCGTCCCATTTTCTGTCTAGTTTGATTAACGAGATTTGATTCAAGTTATTTACAACTCAATTTTATGCAATATTTAGTTTAGTATTAGTGTGTACAATTTATATATTTAGAAACTATATTAAATGTACTATTAAAACACACACAAAAAAATAAAAAACTGAATTTAGAAATTGTAAGAAAATGTTAATAAGGAAAAAAGTGAATAAAGAAGACTTGATTTTACTGATGAATAGTAAACTAGACATATAAAATGGGAGAGGGAGTACTTTTCAATACATCTTTTTCCTTTTGCCATTTGGTGTAGTGGTGTTTGACAATTATGACTATTTTTTTTATTCTTGTGCTTGGAGTTCTGAGTTGTAACTGGATGGTGCAATGTATAATGAATTTGTTATCAAGTGGCTCAGAATTCCTTTTTTTTTTTTTTTTTTTTTTTTTTTTTTTTTTTTTTAAATTTTAAATTTGCAGTGGTGGAACCTTTGCTTTAGAATCTAGTATACCTTTGGCTGCAACAATACGGGAGCTCTTACGCCTCAAGGTGTGTTCATTTTATGCTATTAATGCTTTTACTTGCTAGTTGCTATTCATATTTGAATCTTGTTAGTATGCCTGATTGCCTGGCTTATTTTAGTGAAGTAATGTTTGAGTATCTCTGAACTTTTGTAATATACACTACAATCTGTATAGAAATAATAATGAAGGAAATAAATGTGGATTTAGGTGATATTTGCAAGTTGTGACATCTTGGTGTCCATGCTAAATTGGTTTGCCACCTAGACCATCATACACACTTGCAACTTGAATTAGGTTGAAACAACACCCTTAAATGGTGAACCTTTAGTTACAAATGAACCCAATGGGCCTTACTTCTATATTGGCCAAGTGTGGAAATCTGGAAGCAGCTATGCCAGGACTTCTTCAGATTTATACCTCGTCTAAGCTATAATGCTGTGTTAGAAAGAGGTTAAGTACATCTCACACTGGACATTTGATATGATAATCATATTTATGTTAGATCCATCGTAGTCCTCCATATCTTGTAAAATGTCTCACTTTGCTTAAGAAAGCCAAGTTATAGACTCTAAAATATTTTTGGAATCAGATTCTATAATGTTTTTCTTAGTAAAATCTCAGTATTAGGTTTTTAAATACAATGATGCACATAGATTGTGAATTTGAGGGATATTGATGGGTCTAAATTGGGTTACATGCCCCAAGATGTTTTTAACTTATCAAAAAGGGGGAAAAGATGCTTTTGATGTTCTGTTTATTGTAAGATATTTATATTTATTCTTCTCTACTGCAGGCTGCTGGAAATGAAGCATTTCAGTCAGGAAAGCATGCAGAGGCTATTGAACATTACAGTGCTGCTATATCATGGAATGTTGAGTCACGACCTTTTGCAGCGATTTGTTTTTGTAATCGTGCTGCTGCATACCGAGCAGTGGGCCAAATATTGGATGCCATTGCAGATTGCAGCTTGTCTATAGCCCTTGATGGAAATTATGTAAAGGTTCGATTCTGATATAGTATTTTCAGTGCAATATGATTTCCATTGCATACCTAATTGGGTTTTGATACTGTATTGTTTGAATAGATCTTGACACCCATATAGTGCGCAAAAGATATTGAACACATTAAGACGAGGCTAAACGCAATTACACATGCTATCATTGAGGACTGGACAGTCACATTCTTAAAGAAATTTTTGTTTCCTTTACCTTAGGAATGCCAAATGTCGATTCTGAATTGTGTGGTCTTTAGTAGGATGAGTATCCTTGAGAAAATATGTTACTTTGTGATGAACTTAGTATATGATCTTGAATTTTTTTTTTTTTTTTTTCAATTAAGAAATTCCTCCGGTGAGGAATTAACCTTATCTTAGCACTATTTATGCCAGGCCCCAAGCCCATAAGGTTTTCAATGCATATTTTTGCAAAGACCTTTATTATATTTAACTATTAGATCTGATATGTGCATACACTGCTTCAAATTTTGAATATATATGTTTAATAGACTTCAAGTTTCAATCCATTCCAACCTTGTCATTACATCCAAATGCTTGGGCTATGGCCTCTGTGGACTAAGGAAGGAACTTGAAAGGAGAAATGGAATATAAACAGGATTTGCAAAGGAATGACTCCAAGTCTTGCAAAAGGAATCATCTATGTGGATTTTGCCTATGGTCATCCTTCCTTTGATTTTCTATTCATATCATGTCTATATTGAATGAAGTTGTTTTATGTTGTATTCTAAAATAAAGAAGTAACTTGCTATAAGCTTTTTATAGCCTGCATTCAATACTGCTTTTCATGAATTCAAGTTCACCCAAGGTTTTTGTCACCTGACTTGAATTGGTGGTTTACCTTTATTACAACAAGGCATGTCTCAACTTTGGTGCTTGACTTGGAATTTTCCATAGGCATAATTGCTTGTTGAATTTGGTAGAAGTTTTGTCTGCCTTCATTTATTGCCAATACTCTTATGCAGGCAATATCTAGACGAGCTTCATTGCTTGAGATGATCAGGGATTATGGACAAGCAGCTTCAGATCTTCGAAGGCTTATCTCCCTTCTCACAAGGCAAATGGAAAATAAGATAAACCAGTCAGATAAAAGTTTTTTCATGAGTGAGATCCGGCAAACACAGCAGAAGCTTTTGACAATGGAGGAAGAAGACAGAAAGGAAATCCCTTTGAATATGTACCTAATACTGTAAGTTATATTTTCAGACCCATGATTTGAAAACTTTGAGATCATTTAAGATGTGTTGCCAACACTTATTTCGATTTCCCAAGGTAAAATGATTATAATTTTTCAGTATGCTTAGTTTTGTTGTCACAGGAAGTTGTATCTTGCAGTGTCAGGTGTGTATTTCAATACTGTAAAAGAACTTAAGCATGTTATCATGTCCTTGTAGTCCAGAGAAATTCACCTAGTTCGGGCATGCTGAACAAGGTTAACAGTTTTACCCCTTTTAAGTAGTCAGCTTGGCAAATAGGTTTCATCTCAAGTACACCACCATCACTCCATAAGTTATGAATGTAGAATTGTAGATAGCACTTTCTATGAGTGTCTGGTTGGCTGTTGATATATATATTAACTTGGAGTACTCAAAACTTTTTTCAAGTTATCTATTTCATAACAAATCATTGCCTGTATTTTTGGTGTTTGAATAAGTACCTCAGGCTGCTGAATAGGGAACCATAATGTTTGAGGAAATATGGACAAGTGTGTAATTTATTTCATTCATTGAGCTCTTCTCTAATAACAATAGGATGGTACTTTTGAAATTCCAGGGGAGTAGACCCATCTGCTGCGTCTTCAGAAATTAAGAGGGCTTACCGAAAAGCTGCACTCAAACATCACCCTGACAAGGTTCTCTTTGTGATCTTCACTGCTACATTAGCATTATTAATTTTTTTTTTTTTTCGAGACTGACACCATTCAATTGTTTAGGCTGGGCAATTGTTATCCAAAAATGATAATGCAGATGATGGAATTTGGAAAGAAATAGCTGAAGAGGTTTGTATAGATGCTGACAGGCTTTTCAAAATGATTGGGGAGGCCTATGCACTACTTTCGGATCCTGCAAAGGTATTCTTTCAAAGGAGACTTTGGTTGTGATCTCAAGACATAAGTTCATTATTTTGTCTAGTCCAACTTTAATTGTCTTTATAAAAATGAACGGTTACTTGGGAATATTTGCTTCATTTTCTCTCTTTTGGGTGGTGGGGCGTGGGTGGGGAGGGGATAGTATGTAATGTAGCATGCAGTGATATGTATAATTTCAACAAGTTGTTAGTAGAAATGTACTACTATCAAATATTGGAAAGATGTAGAGTTATTATAAGGAATCCAGTAGTACCCTGTTACACATGCTAAACCCAGTTTCTTGGTCTAAGTTTGAGCTTCTTTGGATATCTGTTTCTATCGTTTATGTCATACACTTGTAAAATTTGATGTTTAACTATAATGCTGCCACCTTGTAGCGCTCACGGTATGATATTGAAGAAGAGACGAGGAACAGTCAAAATAGAGGGAACAGAGGCAGCACGATGAAAACACACATGGACTCTTATAACTCTCAATTTGAGAGGAGTGGGAACAGATGGCAAAGGAGTGCTGTTTGGAGAGCATATGGGAATTTCCAGCCCAGAGAGTCAGATAGAAGTCAGTCAAACTGGTACTCATGACAAGGTTCAATGCTCTGTTTAAATCCTAGTATACAGAGCTTTACTATTGCTGCAGAATATGGGAGAATTTCCTTGTGCAACTAACAACAGGTGGCAACTGAACTGATAGATTTTGAACACGATGTCCCATGTTTTGAACTGATTTGAGGATTCCAAAGTTTATGGTTTACACGACAGCAGGTGGAGATCAGAGCAGTTTGAGTTGACCTACATCTGTGCTCAGAAGACAATGGTTGTAAAAATGTTGAAGCAACTTGAATGATGTCTCGCCTGGAGGCAACGAACGGTACATTGGTCAAGCAACTCTGCTAACAATACCTGCTTGCTGCACGAGGCTTCGACAAAGACGGCCAACCGGCTAGCTCAACAATAGATTTTGCATTGTTCCACACAAGATTTGTGTTTGTGAAATGGTTTGTTCTATTCATTTATTATTTTGATTGATTTGTACATAATAGTTTGTTATATTTATTTTCAAGTGCCAAGTGTGCAATTAGTCCATCCTTTTTTTCCAAAGGAAGAGCTTCTTCTAGAACTTGTTTTAAAAGAATCCAACCTTGGGTTTTTTCTCTTCTATTTTCTTAATTGATTTGCTTCTCTTTCTTTCCCAAAAGTGTTACTATAATTTGTTGGGGAAGTGTTTCCACCCTTACCATTATCATTCCTTACTAGTAGATTGATTGATTGATTTCACATTGAGTTAATAAGAAATCTATCTAATTAAAAAATGAGCTTTTTCCTTGTAATAAACATTTCTAGATGTGGCAATCTTATTCTTAACGACTTAGGGCCCTTTCACTTGAGATCACGCCTTTTGGTGTTATAAACATTAGACAAGGTTGCCCGTATGGGCTTAGTTCAATAGTTCAATAGACAGTATCTAGGAGAAGCGCACCAATGTCCGAATTTTAGTGGGGATTATGTTCAAAGTTGGTAGATCTCTTGTGTGCACCGGCATTTAACCTTACATCCTCCTAAATGCTCTGTTCCAAAATCTCACATTATCTAGGTAATTCTATTACTTAGGGTAATCTAAGATCCCGTGAACCAAACACCACCTAAATCCTACTCTAAGAAAATCTGTACCCAACCGGGTATCTCGTCCCGAAGCCCCGGAGCTAACGATTGTTGAGGATCCTCCAAGGGAGGAGTTTGTCTAGATGGGAGTCCACCGGCTGAGGATCTCGTTCCGGAGCCTCGGAGCCAACGGTTGTTGAGGATCCTCCAAGGGAGGAGTTTGTCTAGATGGGAGTCCACCGGCTGAGGATCTCGTCCCGGAGCCTCGGAGCCAACGATTGTTGAGGATCCTCCAAGGGAGGAGTTTGTCTAGATGGGAGTCCACCGGCTGAGGATCCATCCTCCAAGGGAGGAGTTCGGCAAAAGGATCCATCCTCCAAGGGAGGAGTTTGTCTAGATGGGAGTCCACCGGCTAAGGATCCATCTTCCCAGGGAGGGGTTTGTCTAGATGGGAGTCCACCGGGAAGTTTGTCTCCGGCTGAGGATCCATCCTCCAATCCATCCTCCAAGGGAGGAGTTTGTCTAGATGGGAGTCCACCGGGAAGTTTGTCTAAATGGGAGTCCACCGGAAAGTTTGTCTAAATAGGAGTCCACTGAGGATCCTCCATCCTCCAAGGGAGGAGTTTGTCTAGATGGGAGTCCACCGGGATCTCCAGTCCCACCGGCTGACCGAGTTTCATATGAAAGGAAATACCGGCTACCGGGATCTCCAGTCCCACCGGCTGACCGAGTTTCATATGAAAGGAAATACCGGCTAACCGGGTTTCATATGAAAGGAAATAAGGAAATACCGGTTACCGGGATCTCCGGTCCCACCGGCTGACCGAGTAATACCGACTAACCGGGTTTCATATGAAAGGAAATAAGGAAATACCGGCTGACCGAGTAATACCGACTAACCGGGTTTCATATGAAAGGAAATAAGGAAATACCGGCTACCGGGATCTCCAGTCCCACCGGCTGACCGAGTTTCATATGAAAGGAAATACTGGCTAACCGGGTTTCATATGAAAGGAAATAAGGAAATACCGGTTACCGGGATCTCCGGTCCCACTGGCTGACCAAGTAATACCGACTAACCGGGTTTCATATGAAAGGAAATAAGGAAATACCGACTAACCGGGTTTCATATGAAAGGAAATAAGGAAATACCGGCTACCGGGATCTCCAGTCCCACCGACTGACCGAGTTTCATATGAAAGGAAATAAGAAAGAAGCTATCGAATCGTTAAACCGATGAACCAAAGAGGTCCTACCGGGAGTCGAACCCAGGTCACTGGATTCAAAGTCCAGAGTGCTAACCACTACACCATAGAACCAATACACTTTGGTATTAATTATTCATTTTATAAACGAAGATTTAAGCCCCGTTGAGTGGCGGAACAAGGCAATGGATCTTGGCTAGATCCGTTGCCTTGCACCGTAGCTTGGCGGAGTCAAGTGGCGGGGATCATTTAGCCAATACCAAGAATCTTCATATTTTGGACTCACTAGAATCCTAGAGATGCGAGCCACGTCCTCAAGTATAAAAATATCAGCTAGAATGTCCTGATCCTCTTAAATGCTCTGTCAGACCGGAGTGTGGGGCCATTGGTGCTGGGGATTCAACCTTTTAGGAGAAGACATTAGACATGGCTTTAAGATAGAAAACAAAAATGGAAAATGTTTTCCATTATTAAACAAGCTCAAGTTACAAGTTGAAATATGAAGTGTATGAATGATAATTGGTAAATAATAACACTACCAAGTTGCCATTATGTCTAAACCTCCAATGCTATTATGGAATTATGGCCTATGGGGAACTTATACACAATCTCTTCTCATCTCTCTAAGGGTGTATGATGTCACCCATAAATGCCAAAACCAATCTCTTTAGGGGCTGTTTCTACCATCCATGGAGCCCTATCATGAGAAAAAAAAACCACATTTCAATTGGTAGAAGTTATATAACCAACTGAAGAGAAAAAGTGTGAGTGGATAGATCAGTACTTGTCCATTACAAAATTGATCGTCCCTTGAGTAGCACGGCCGAGGAGGGTTTCCCTCGCCTCAATCGCGATTCCTTCAGGCTACAACCCGAGCATGTGGAATAAGTATAAGTTGGGATAATATCATGTTCTATACCGACGATGCTATATACTATAATACCTCTTCCGGGAACCAAACCCCGGGTTTTGTGCTTCCCTCGAGAATTGCCAACGCAAATGCAGCTGTTGAATTTCCCACTGATCTAAAAGGTTACAGAAATCACAACACTTCACTTTCTTTTTCAAATTTAGGAGTGTAAGCAATAAAAACAGGCGAGTCACGGCAATTAGAAATACGGGTTTATAATAAATAAGAACGAGGTTCTATAGTAACAGAAGCAAAAAGGTTGTCAGCAGAACATACTTGGAGAGTCTTTTGTGACTAAATATTCCTACTCTGTGACGCCCATCTGTACATTCCAAATCAACCTGTTCCAAATCGACAGAACCGCATAATGACTAACATATACTTTTCGTCTAGCTTACAACTGTAGCTAACCCACGGCAAAACTATAATTCAAATGAAGCAACAGATAGAAATTAAAATAGAAAGTTCACCCTTATTGACACACACTCTCCAGATATCTGGTCAACTGCCCGAACAAGTGGATCAAATAATTGAACTAGTTGTTGAACTTTGCTTCTGTCTCTCAAAAATTCCTGAAAATCCATAAAATGGTATTGACATAGTAGTAGAGTAGAAAGGAAGGTATATGTCGCAATTTATGCCGTGGAAACGTGTTCACCATGCGCATGGTGAACACAGGAGTAGATCCATAATTTCTATACTGTAGATTCATAATTTTGTTTTTCATTTGTTGTTAACGATGTTTCTCTCTTCGCAATCGCATTATTTTGTCTTCGCAGTACAGATATTATGAATCTACAGTATAGAAATTATGAATCTACAGTATAGATGTTATGAATCTACAGTATAGAAATTATGAATCTACAGCTTAGAAATTATGGATCTATCCTGTCTTCACCATGTGCATAGTGAACACGGTTCCACAGCATAACTATTGGGTATATGTTGGGCGGAGGCCCGTGAAGGGCTAAGTCCAGCACCAGGTGTCAGGGGGATTGTTGGGCGGGATGCTTGAAGGGCCAAGTCCAACACCCTGCCTCTCGAAAATGTGCGGTATAAGGAAATAAAGTAGCTTTTCGAGTCCTAGCAAGGGTAAACTATGCAGGCAAGACTAGTAGGTGCTGGAAGGGGGGAGCTTTTGGCATAGTGGTAAGCGGGATAATGGAGGATACTAATCTTAACTTCTTAATTCGATGCATCCATAAGGGAATACGGATTTTTACAAAGCATCATACCGCTGGAAGTAAATTTGCCATAGCAATCATTCCCCAATTCCAGAAAATTGGATCAGTTCCAAACCGAGCACTGACAGATGGTATTCCAAGGATTTTATGTGCACTACTCACTTCAGGCAAATTTCTGCAAATATAAAAGAATATATAATAAGAATGACCAGAATAGTCTTGGAAATGGGGATAACTTTTATTCCAAAACCAGAATTAAAAGCAATCCCCAAGCGTTGGTGAAAAGATTTTCTTCTATAAATACTTACAAAAGGTAAACATCTTTCTTGCCAACCCCTATTCCGAAGTCGATGCTTAGCATTCCACTGTAAGGCTTTAATTTGATTTCAGTCCCTGGTATAATAATAACCCAACATTTTCGTAAGTTTCAACAAAATTTTGGATAAGCTATCCCGGGCTCAGTGAATCTCAGAAGAAAACCTTTATTATATGCAATTACATCTTCCCCAAGAAGCAGAAAGCTAGTAGCTAAAATTGTCGGTCCAGCACCACCTGAGCCAGCAGTGTAATAATAGAACCTGAAAATAGCATATTGGAGTAAAAGATCCATTAAATCATGAAATCAAAAGTATATTGTACTGTAAAATTTAATAAGTTTCTTAAAGTAAAAAAGACGAAAACTGAAAATCGAAAAGTGGAAGGAAAGAATTACCTTAGCCTCTCTGGCTTACTTTCGCTCTCATTCACCGCGATGCGAACAAGCTCTGCTGCCATCACTGCCATTATAATGGTAAAAGTTTTCGATCATAATGCATGGATGAAAACTGTATTATGCCCAAGAAATACTTCATATATGCAAGCTCAAAATTTGCAATGCTTTATCACGGGCTAATATTGCCTAAACTGCTATTTATCCTACAAAATTGATATGTCACGACACAAAGATATTGAAAATAGGACTTTACACATTGTGTGCACTTTTCTCGATGCATAAGTTTAACGAGAATCGTATAGTACCATTGCTCACTCCTGGATAGATGCCGCCGGTTGTTATTACAGGGATATTTGCAGCCAGTGCTTCATTCATATAGGATTTTGCACGGAATGCATAGCTTGTATCATCACAAACATCAAGATATGCGGTCTGTTCAAATATATGATTTGGAAAAAGTTCGGTTCATATCAAGATGTAGTTATAATATCATGTAGTGATCACTTGGAAAACGCCAAATGGCAGATGCAGGAAATAAGATGTGCT